CCTGACCTGAATCAGCCACCTGAGCAGACGCACTGGTCAAGGTGTACAGACTGGACCCAGGCTGTCAAGTGAACGTAGCAAGGTGACGGCCAGTCTGGGAGCACGTACAAATCGCCACATGCTGCCCTCGAGGAGTAAAGGTATCAACCCATACATCCTGAAGGACTGCGTTGCTCACCAAGTTCGTCGAGAACGAGGGGAGGTGGAGACCTGAAAGAGAGCCAAAGGGGACTGCCGGATACGGGAGGACAGTGGAGGCTCGTGCGACGACGGGGCCCCAGGGGGGTCAGCCAGTGAGACCGGGAATGGTGCAGCAAGCGGTGTGACTGTGGTGCAATCACGAAAGAAGCAATGAGACGCACCAGAGTCAAGTGTGAAAGTGTGCAAGGCCTCAGCTGAGGCAACAGACTCACTAGCACCCTTGGCAGCAGACGCACTAGCACCTAGAGTGGCTGCAGACTCACTAGCACCTAGATCGGCAGCAGACTCACTAGCAGCACAAGGCACACGCGAGTAACAGGCACCCTCAGCACAAATAACATCAACATACATAGCATAGGTTCCTCTGTTGATAGCAGCAAAGTCAAGAGCAAACACATCTACTCCCTTCGCTATCAATCCCAGCCATTTGGGGACCTCATGCTCATCACCATACTCAGCCACCCAGGCATCCTCAAGACGACCGAAGCAGCGATACTTAGTGTGCCCAGGGTTCCCGCAGGTCTGACCCTTCTTGAGTCCCGTGCGCCTGACATACGAGCAGCGACCAGAGCCCCCGGGGGAACCACGCTGGACAACCCACTCACGAAGCTGCTGAGGGGTGGGTGTGTCCAAGAGGCATGGTAGCAGCGGTCCACTCCCATGGCCTCTGCCGCTACGATCTGAGCACCCAGAGCCTCCACCCCTGCCAGCTCCACTCCGCCCGCCTCCACCACCCCCGTCGCCTCCACCACCCCGGCCATCTCCACCACCCCGGCCACCTCCACCGCCTCCACCTCCGGTGTCACCTCCACCACCTCCACCGCCGTTACCACCACCCCCGCTACCACCACCACTAGCGCCACCCCCACCTCCCTTACCCCCCTTGCCCTTGCCGCTGCGGCGCCTCTCACTAGGGGCAGACGCAACGCCGACTTCTTCAGCACCAAGGAGGTCGACAGCAGCAGCAGTGGCAACTGAGGGTAGGAGAGGGGAGGGGGCACACCTTTCAAAAAAGGGGGAGCGGGGAGTGCCACGAGAGGCAGCGACAGCGACAGTATTGGTCTAAGCCTCGAGAAGGGACTTCTCCAGCGAGGCAAGCGTGAGCTCAGTGGGGTCAAGGGCGAGAAAGTGGTCCCTAACTATGCGGAGGGAGTCCGGGAGGAAGTACAGGGTGATATGAAGCGGGGGGGGGGGGGGGGGGGTCTCTTTGAGGAAGGCCGGCTTGAGAGCGGTACGATAGCGAGTCTCACTAGAGCGAAGGTGGGTCATGAGGTCAGCAACAGTGCGGAAATCTGCGAGCTCAGGAAAGAGGTACGGCAGAATGAGGCGGCCTAGGGAAGCAGTAGCTGGGGAGGAGTAACGAACAACAACTGCGTCACAGAGGGCTTTGGCTGTCTTTTGCTGGCCAAAATGGGCTCTCTCAGCTAGCGGAAGGTGGTTGCGGACAGCAAGGCGGCCAGTAGCATCACGTGTGATCCACTTCGAATGATCTAAGCGGTCGATGTAGCAGCTGGGGCGAGGAGGGATCCTGACGTAGGGCTCTATCAAGGAAACTCCATCCTTGGATTTGCTCTACAGGTACAGCTGGAGTTCGTTGAGCCAAACGTTTAAGCTAATCGGGCGACCCTCTGCATCAAAGGTAAGAACCAAAATGGTGGCCATAGTAGCAGGAGCAGCAGTAGCAGCAGCAGCAGGGCGGCGCGGCTCGGTCAGGGCGGCGCGGCTCGGGCTGGGCAGCGCGGCTCGACAGGGCGGCTCGGCTCGGGCTGGGCAGCGCGGCTCGGCAGGGCACAGCGCAGCAGCGCGCGCGGCAGCAGCAGCTCAGGCGCAGCAACGCGTGAAGTAGCAGCTGCGCAGCAGCAGCAGCAACAGCAGCAGCGCGTGCGGGTAGGGGCGCTCGCGTGCAGGCGGAGGCTCGCGCGGGTAGCAACGCGGGCAGGCATCGCTCGCGGGCAGGCGGCGCTCGCGGGATGGTGGCGCTGGCGGGTAGGCAGCTCGTGCGCGGGCAGTTAGCTCGCGGGCAGGGTCGAGCGGATCGATTTGGTGGGCCCTAAAAAAAAAATCTAACCGTTAACCTGCTCTGAAACCATGTCGAGATAATTGTGTAGGAATGTGAATGACTAGCAACAGGGAGATTCAAGTATGAAACCCTAACTGGATTTGTACTCTATACTGAGCACCTCACATTAGCCTAGCAGAACTAAGAACATACGAATATGTTTTGACATGAACTGTAGTAAACACACCTGACTCCCCTATTGCAAAATCAATGCCGATCACCACCTGAAGCGCCAACTATAGGGAAAATATGCTACACGTAACGAACATGGGACCCAATAACGTGAATGGTACCAAAAAAACGCGTACGGTCACTGTATCGGGTTTCCTGACGGGTTTGGTAATCGGAGTCACGGATTCAGTCACTAACAACAGGTGAAAAATCACGCGAATGGTCACACATGTAACTCCCGCCAAAAAATCTTGAAACTCTACAATATTCCCGCTCGCGTCCAACCAGTCATCTAACTTAAAAAAAAAAACTAAAACCCAATCGGAATTGGATGCGGTTTGGGAACGGATCAACCCTAAACACATGGCGAATTATGTTTAGGGTTGATTCATCCGAAAATGCATCAAGGTTCGTTTTGGGTATGATCTTTTTTGGGCGGGAGTTTCATCTGTGACCATTCGCGTTTTTTTTTTCCCAGTTGATTGTGACTGGTTCCGTGAAACGCTTTATCAAACACGTGAAAACACCCTTTCCTTTGACCGTACCCGTTTTTTTGTTTACCAAACAAATTATCGAGACCCTTGTTGATTACGTGTGGCATATTTTCCCCCGACTATATGTCAGCAATTTAGTGACCGAAACCGATTGAAACAAGGGAGGCTTTGGTTAGGCGCGGCTTGGGGGCTGATAGTAGCCGTTGTAAGGACCAACCGAACCGAGCGACAAACCAGTTGCAAACCAGATGAAGTTTCAACACCACTCACTTTCCCGCCACGTTCAACCAAGTTTCAGATGGGCCGTACGGTTACGTTATGGGCAGCTCAAAGCTGACCACCTTTGCGATCTCGTGCTGATTGGCTGTAAGGCTTCTTCTGAACCGTTGAAATGGGCACAACTCATTTCGCTTGTCCCGTCATTTATCAATGGCGTTTTCGCAACAGCCATTTGCTTCCGCCTTCCCTTGTCGCACTTCGGGGCGCATGTAGGGTCGATTCTGCTGTTAACTGTGTAACAATCTGGAGCCAACGAACCACACGAGCGCCTGAAGCGGGCAGCAGGACTTCGTATCAAAGCCCTTTCTTTCGAGAAACTGTTGTAACGGAAGATTTCGGCAGTCTAGCAGCGCGACGCGCAAAAAAGGAGGAGCTCGTTTGGCCCCCCTGAATTTCGGCACAAGAAGCGGCGCGATGTGTTGGAGAGAAATTGCTTTATTGTTTTTTGGGGCGGGCATTGTGAAGCTAGAGCCGCAGCACCCGCATTTCCCACCAGCTGGTTCCCACTCAACCACGCAGAGATTGTTTATTACGTTTCTTCTACTGATCGTGGCTAAGGGTTCCTAAGCTCGGAACAGCACAGCGTAATTCAAGCCTCGACGGTTCTCCGGCATGACATTGGTTACCACCCAATCGCCTGTTGGGAGCAGCACCTCTGCGTTCTCGCGAACGTCAACGGCATGGGATAACCGATTGAAGACTTTCGTTTACATCCTCGCAGCGGCCGGCATCGCTTTGGCGCTCTGGTTCGCCACGTTCGAAGCCGCCACACTCCTTTTGCATCCCAAAATTTACGCCTCGCGATATCTCGGTGTTCATATACTTCGTTTCACGCGGGAATCGCGGCGGAGTTCAGCGGGACGACGGGTAGAAACAGCGGGTACAGACTGGCGGCCTGTTCCAGACCGACACGTGGCGGAGAAGGCAGTAACCATGTCCGTGCTGTCGCTGCCGCATAATCCTCTCACGAATCGCAAGAGAACCGCCAAGCTAGCGCTACTGTTTTTAACGGATCAGGGCCTCCTGCCTCTAAAGCGCGTATGGGATCGATTTTTACAGGCGGAGCTCAAAGGCTCGGTGGAGCTCGAGGGCGACAACAGCAAGTTCTCCGTCTACGTGCACACGGGCGGCAATGAGATGCGCTATAACGCGGACGAAGGCCGGTTCCTTCGACGAAACGACATCCCCAGTCTTCCGGTGAGTGAGTGCGGCTGGAGATAGGCAAGCGTGCCGATCGGGAGGCGAGAGCGCGGCAGTGAGGATGATGGACAGGGTGTGGGAGTGGCTGGGGTGGCGGAGCGTGGTTGAGTGGGTTCCGGCCGAGCGCACGCGCAGATTCGTGGCGGATCGATTTCCGCACCTCGTGTGCGTAGAGGGTGTGGTAGCGGGGACGGAGGGCGCGGTGAGGTGGAGGGAAGGCGCGAGCCGGTAGCTGAAGAAGCCGTGTGCCTCTTTTTTTCGTGCCTCCTCCTTTCGCCCAGCACGTTCCTTCCTGCCTGAGTGTCCCTTCCTCCCGCGCGCGTTTATTGCTCCCCACGCCCCTTCCTCCCCGCGCGTTCCTTGCTCCCCGCGTGTCCCTTCCTCCCCGCACGCCCCTTGCTCCCCGCGCTCCCGTTCCTCTTCGCGCGGCTCTTTCTCCCAGGGCGTCTCTTCCGCTCCGCGCGTCGCTTCGTTTCGGCGTGTCTCTTTCTCATCGTCGTCTCCTCCCTTTCGTGTTCTCCCACCACTTTTCTTGTTTGCCTCACCCACCTTCTCCCCATCTTCCCATCCCTCCTTTCCGCCACTTCCTCCCACAGGCGCAAGAGGGCGCGATAACGGCGGTGGACGCGCAGAGGCGGCTGCTGGCATGGGCGCTGCTGGACCGCAACAACCACTTCTTCCTCTTCCTCCACCACACGTGCGCCCTCCCTGCTCTCCTTCTTTCCACCTTGCTTCCTTCCTCCTTTTCGTTTCCCCACGCATTTTGTCGTCATCCTCACCCGCGCCTTCCTCTACTCGCGCTCCGCTTCCCGTGCTCACACGGCCAGCAGGCGCACTCGCCATGCCGTGCCAGCCGCCCCCGAGTGCACGTGCTCTCACGCGCTCAACCTACTCACCTCTCCCCTCACTCTCCCGTCCCCTCTTCTCCTTGGTCGTCCCTCTCACCGCAGCGCCATCCCCATCCAGAGCTTCAGCCGCATCTACTCGTCGTTGCTGCACTCGCGCCACTCCTTCGTCGCCATGTGAGTCGCCACGTCACCCTCTTCGCTCTCCCAGTTTTGCCTGAAGCTCGCAAGTCTCTCAGAAGGATGAGCGACGCATTTAATATACATGCTGGCACTCCGTGCGCGCCTTTCTCACTGAAATTTCCGTCGTCATCTCTCCCTCCTTCACGTCTCACCACCACACTCAAGCCTGTCCCCTTATCCCCTCCCCACTCGTCCCGCGCCCCTTCCACCCCCGCCTCCCTCCCCCCCGCACCCTGCTTCTCCCTGCCATTCCCCCAGGGCGGACGATCCGACAGCATATCCGCGCGGGCTTGCTCCACTCGTTCCGCAGCACAAGTTTGCGCGGAGCTCCAAGGTACTATACTAGCAGTGCGCGTGGCGTGGTTGGGAGTGGTTCACGGCGTTGCTGCCGGCCCAATGCCTGCTTCTTTCCTCGCCATTCGCTTTCCTCAATCTCCAGTTTCCTGCTTCAAGTTTGCTGTGTGTACCATCGACTCGACGTCGCCCATCGTGCGGTTCTCTTCCCCATCCCACCCTGTGCGCGGCAGTGGGTGGCGGTGAACCGACCGCATGCAACGGCCATCGTGGCAGACAGCATGTTCTACCGCGCCTTCAAGCTGCACTGCCCCGTACGCTCCCTCCCCCCGTGTCCCCTCACACCCTCTCGCTCTTCCCTCCTCTCCTCTCATCATCGTCTTCCCCAGATTCCTTCACCTCCTGCCTCTTCAAGCCTCCTGTCTCCTCATGCCAACCAGTCAGCATCTCACACTCATTATCCCTCGTCTCTCCGCCCACCCCTCTTCCAACGTGCGCCATCACCAGGGCACGGCAGCAGTGTCTAACGGGAGAAACAGTGGGGCGCCCTCCACCTCGTCGCCAGCAGCGCACACACCACCAGCAGCACCAGCGTGCCGGCCTGACGAACACTACATCGCTACTTTCCTCAGGGTGCGCCTTCGACTTATCCCTCCTGTCGTTTTCTTCCTCCTTTCGTGTCCTCACTCCCATCGCTTTCCCTCTCCCTTCGCCTCAATCTCTTCCCCCCATTTTTTGCGACCTTCTCTTTCCCCTCCCCCATTTTGCGATCCACCTCCCTTCTGTTTCCCCGTCATATTGCTCCCTCATCACCGCTTCTTACTTCAGGTCTTGCATTTCTTTGACTCCTCAGGATCTTCCCCGCTCGTTCCCCCACGTCCAGACCGCCATCATTACAACACTGCTGTGTATCACAACCGCAGATGCCTTTACAAAGGTCCCCCAGGGGATGTTGAGCTGGCGATGGGACAATCGGATGCAGTGGGAGACTGCTTGCTTATCCACCCGCCCTTCTCCCCTTCCTCCTTCCCGCATCCCCCTTCCCCCTTCCCCTTCGCCCCTGTAATGATCACCAGACAGTAGACCCCGATGGAGTGGCCAACTTCACCATCACCCACGAGCCGCACATGGCTGCCGCTGCTGCTGTGCACGCTCTCATGCGGGAACAGGCCCTGCAGCGCACGCGCAAGTGGCGGCGGCAGCAGCGGCGGGAGGAGGGCGCCATGAGGCGCGCAGGAGCAGAGGAGGGACAGGGGGGGGATGGTGAGGTGTGGCAGGGGCGGAGGGAGATGCTTGAGCGGGTGGGGGAGTGGGAGGAGGTGGAGTACGGTGCTGTGAACATCACTTCGAGGTTCATCCAGGACATGCAGGAGGCAACGACATATTTCCATAAAATTGCAGATTCTGTTTTTGTAAGTTCACTTAACCTTACCTTTTCTACCAGCGTTGTGCTCAGACCACTGCTCTGTAATTTTCCTCTTCAGAAACATCTTGGCTGGCGTGCAGTGTCTATTTTCCAGACGGTTCATGTTCACTATCATGCTCAGTTGATGTCAAATCCCGCTGTTTTGAATACTCCTGCAGAGCCCCACAACCTGTAGATGGAATGGCCAACCCAAGCCATGCTTCATGTTTGCTCGGCCGTTTCGACCAGAATCTGCAGATGAGATCATGAGCATTTTACCAAACGTCCTCCATTATTGAATTAATATCCCTGCAGGGTTGCCCCCTGCAGATGTGCGGGCAAATACAAATACAGTAGTTAATCTTAGGATTAGTTTGTTCCCTCTCAATCGTCATGCAAGTATGACAGGTACCTTTAATAGTACCGGTAGGCTCGTCTTGTATAGCGTGGTTTTATATGTGAAGCTTGAGTTAGTTGCTTTTATGCATGTCATGATCTTTTTCATGATGCAACCTCTTGCTTAAAACGGAAACAGTGCTTTATGCATGCATGCAGTCTTTGAAGAAATGGTGTGTACATTCGTCATGGTTGGCGATTGTCAGAAGATATTTGTACGGTACCTCAAAAGTCTTCTAGTATAAACATGTATGCATTTTATTACAGAAATATGTTTTTTCTGTGTCATGCAGATTATAATTTGAAGCTAGTGCATAAACATCCTTGAAATAGATTTCTAAACATGCACCATCCCCTATCAAGCCCCTCTGTTAGGCCCCTTGGTTTAAACCCGCTAAAGATTAGCGGGGTTGACTAAATCGAGGATGAAACGAGGCGGAAGACTTTGGCAAAAAAAAGTGTTTGCGAAATAGGCGAAGAAGTTACTGAGTAATAGTTGAATGAGAATTGGTTGATATTGGCAAGTACGGTACAAGCAAGGTTGATATAGCATGCAATGGGGAGCGTTGGAAAGTAGTTTGCAGGGCTCTCCCTAGGATTTGAGGGTTTGTCGGGAGACACGGAGGACGAAGGAACCCAGCGTGGTCGGCTGCATCGTAACCACACCAACGAACCAAGAAATTGATGAAATAGATACCCCCTTGGAGACGACGAAGATGCCTGAGGATGCCTTGGATCTGGTAGTCGGGCTTGTCGGTGTCAATAGCTACTGGCAGTGGAGTGCGATCACGGCCCGAGAAGGTGGTGTTGGGATCGGTGTAAGGACGAAGAAGCGACACGTGGAATGACAGGTGCATGCGGAAATGAGCGGGAAGGCGAAGGCGGTATGCGGCTGGACCTAGTGCGCGCTCAATGACGATGGGACCAATGAAACGAGGGCGAAGCTTGCTGTCCTGTGGCAGTCGGAGGTTGTGGCTATCCGAAAGGACACAGTTGCCGACTGCAAAACGACACCTCACAACGACTGCGGTTGGTGGTGCGTGCCATGCGTGCATTTGCGAGCTCAAGGTGCTTCGTCATGTGGTCGTGAATGAACGTGAGATGCTGGTGAAAGCTATCAGCACATGGGACAGTGGGTGTGAGATCGATACGAGTGGGAACAATGGGGTGCTGACCGTACAGTGCGAAGAATAGTGACATGCCTGTGGACGTGTGGTGAGTGTAGTTGTAGGCTAACTCGGCCATCCTCAGCTTCTTGTCCCATGCAGCTGCGTCGTGCATCGTGATGCTGCAAAGGATCTACTCCAATGTCTGGTTCACGCGCTCAGTCTGTCCGTCTGTCTCTGGATGGTACGCAGACGACATGGCTAAGCGAGTCCCAAACAGTGCAAAAAGCTGCTTCCAGATCTTCAAGGTGAATCTCGGGTCGCGGTCGAAAATTATGGAATCTGTAACCCCATGCGATCGGACTAAGTTATCTACGAACATCGTCGTGGCTTCCTTTGTTGTGACCTTGCCGTGCGTGGGGATGAAGTGCGCTACTCGAGAGAACTTGTCGACTACAACGAAGATGGCATCGTGACCCCTAACTGTGCGTGGTAATGCCATGATGAAGTCCATTGTAACTACCTGCCAAGGGCAGTCGGGCGGTGGAATCGGCTGCAAGAGTCCTGCTTTGTGTTGGCGAGAGGATTTCGTACGCTGACATGTGTCGCACGAGCGAAGGCAATCCTCTAGGTCTGCTGCAAGTCCTGGCCAGAAGTATGTGCAACTAGGCACCTGTCACCTTCACTTGACCCCTCCTCGGCTATCCTACTTCGTAGAAGCCGGTGGACCCTTGTATGCTTGACCAGGTGCTCTTTTCTCTCCCATCCTTCCCTGTCTCTAGGTCTCAGTACTCTGGTAGGCCTTGCTCTGGCCAAGTTCGTGTTATGATCCCTCCTCTCCTCCCCTTTTTCGCTCACTAGTACCACCACTCCCGAATCTTTCACTTCCTTGACTCTCCACCTCTCCACCGTCAGCCCTATATCTAGTAGGTCCTTCTTAGCTTGCCTCAGGTACACCTCTCTTCTTGGCTCTATGCTTCCCACACCCTTCCTTCCCGCCTGTTCTCCTCTCTTCTTGTATCGCTGAGCGTCTCTGAGCTGTGCGACATGGAGGTTCTCCAGCGCTGCGGGTAGCAGCTCCCTTAGGTAATTCGCCATTGCCTCCGCCACGGCTACCCATTTCTCCTCGCTACCCTCGGTGATCGTGTTTGTTGAGAGCTTCGGCGCATCTATGGGTAGTATAGGCTCCCGCCCTAGTAGTAGAAAGTATGGTGACAAGTCTTTGAGCGCCGCTTGCTTGCTGTAACGGTATCCGACGGCTACCCACGGCAGCCGCAAATCCCAATCCTGCTTTAATTTCTCTCCGTACGCCCTCAACCCCCGCTTTATAGTCTAAACGAACCGCTCCGTCAAACCGTCGCTCTGTGGGTGGTACCGTAACGTCCTCCTGTGTGTAATCCCTGTCTCCTTCAGCAGCTGCGCGAATTGCCTTTGGAACCCCGTTCCCTGATCGGTCAGCACCTCCCTGCATGCCCCAAACCTGGTCAGCACCTGCTCCTCGAATGCTTCTGCCACTCTCGCCGAGTTCTTGCTCGGGAGGGCCCTTACTTCCACCCATTTGCTGCCATGCTCGATCATGATCAATATGTACCTTTTTCCTCTCCTGCTCAGCGGCATTTCCAATGCTAAATCCAGGGGCCACCTAAACCCCAGCCCGTGAAAAGGATTGCAACTCTTGTCTTCCCCTATCTAACTCGGCCCGGTTCCGGATGCACAGCTCACATGTCTCCTCATTCCTGCCCACCACCAGTTAGTTTCAACTAGCTGCTGTATCCGCACTGCTCCATAATGCCCCAGCTGCATGTGCACCCTCGCTATGCTTTCTTCCCTCGTCCCCGGTTCTGGCACTACTTTCCAGCCCTCCACCGTATTCACCTGCAGCTGCTCTTGATACCACCGATAATGCCTTCCCCTGGCTCTTGCCCTCTTTGACACCTCTCCGTTCTCCTCGGTCTTGCCTTGGACCCAGAGCATTACTTCCTGGTCTTCCCACACGTCGTCTGGTCCTCTCTCCCCCTTCTTCCTTGCTCCTTCTTGATCTATGCCTCTGGCCAGTGCTACCAGCGCCGCTGTCGGCCTTTCCTCCGCTGGGTTTCTCGATAACCCGTCCACGTGCTGCGACTTTTCTCAGTCTGTGCTTGATGACGAAATCGTATTCTTGCAGTCGCATGGCCCATCGCGTGTTCCTTCCGGTCAGTGCTTGATTCGTCATCAGCCAGGTTAGCGGCTGATAATCCGTGATGAGTGCGAACTGCTTTCCCTGTAGATACACCCTAAAGTGCGTGATGGCCCACACGGCCGCTAGCCCTTCACCTTCATACGAACTGTAGTTCGCCTCGGAGGGGTTATAGCTTCAGCTCGCAAACGCCACTACCCTCTCTTCTCCCTCCCTCTCCTGACACAAGATTGCCCCCATTCCGGAACTGCTCCAATCCGTGTATAGGAGGAAAGGATCCTCCTTGCTAGGCAAGGTCAAGACGGAGGCGGTCTTCACCGCCTTCACTAGGCAGTCTAGGGCTCCTTGTTCCTCTGTCCCCCACTTCCACGCCTGCTCTTCTCACAGCAGCTTGTTCAAAACCGACGCCGTCTTGCTGAAGTTTGGCACGAATCGTCGCTAATACCCCAGAAAACCCAACACTGCCCTCAGCGTGGACCGATCCTTCGGTGTCGGCACACGGTCGAGCACTTCCACTTTCGCTTGCTGCACCCCCAAGTTTCCATCCCCCACCTCGAAACCCAGGTATTGCACCGTGCGCTTCCGGAACTTGCACTTCTTCGGGTGGCAAGTCAGCCCTGCCTTCTTGATATCCTCTAGTGCCTCCCTCACATCCCGCACGTGAAGTTCCTCCGTTGCACTAAAGACTACAACATCGTCTATGTAGCACGCCGCTGCCAGCACCCCTCTGAGCACCGTATCCATCGTCCGCTGGAATATCGCTGGCGCATTCTTCATACCGAACGGCATCACCTTCCATTTGTATTGCCCGTCCGACCTGTGAAACGCCGTTTTCCTCCGGTCTTCTTCCTTGATGGGTATTTGGTTGAACCCCTGTCGCAGTTCCAGCGTAGAGAATACCCGTGCACCTTCCAGTTTGTCGAATATCTCCTCTGTCGATTGCATGAAGTATCTGTCCGGTACGGTCACTTTGTTTAGCCCCCGATAGTCTCCGTACATCCTCTTCGCCAATACCTCCCCAGTAATGTCCTTCCGAGAGGCTACTACGGTGGCCGCCGCGTACTCACTCTCCGACCGCTGGATAAGTTCTGCCTCCATCAGCTTGGTTATCTTCGCCGTGCACACTTCTATGTCTCCCGGGCTCATCCTCCGCTTCCTGTGGTACACCGGTACTTCGCTGTTCAACTTTATCCTCATCTCCTATACCTTACAGCTCCTTCAGCGAAAACGCGAAAGTGGTGTGGTGTTCTCTTAACACTTCTTGCAGCGCTGCAGCCGCCTCTGCCCCCAGCCCATCTCCTATCTCCCATCCCTTCCTTTCCTCCTCGGCTACTGGCTCCCAGATCGTCCTCTGCCTCTGCTTGTGCCGGTTCTTCCTGTACTGCCATCACCATGTAAGCATCATTTTCTAATCCTCTCCAACCTCTGTTCCTCAATCCTCTCCAGCTCCTGTCCTCTCCAGGCTGCTCCACGTTCATCCCTGTACTTCTGGCTGTATTCCAGCTCGCGCTGCACCTCCTTCGTCTTCAGGTGCATGCGGATCGTCTCCACGATCCATGCCATCGCGTTCAGATCCATGGCTCTCCCCAGAG